GCCCGGCCCGGGCCGAACCGTATGGAAAGGGTCCCCGGCCCCATTGGCCCCGGCTTTGCGGCCGCACCAGTGGGTCGGGCATGAACTTGATCCCCCTTTTCCCGGGGTGGGGGGAGGGAGGGATGAGGAGGGGGCACCCACGGCCCAGCTGCAGGGGTGCCCATCCACAGGGGAAATAAAGCAGAGTGGGTAGGTGATTTATGGTGCCCTGGGATCCTTGCCCGTGGGAGCCATGGAAAGAAGGCCCAAATCCCACCTAAGCAGGGTGATAAACCCTGGCAAGTGATTGCACTGGGGGCACCCACATGCCAAGGGCCAGCACCCAAGCAGCAAACAGCAGCAAACAGCAGCAAGCAGCAAAGTGGCATGGCCAGGGCTCACTGTCCCCCGTGCACAGCTTAAGGGGTGATTGGGAAGGGGGAAGGTAACGTCTCCATAGGCAATGTGCCCCTCAGCCTCTTCTCCCTAGGGGAGCTTCCTGCTATAGGGTCTCAGGGAGGGCTGGAAAATGGCAGGTAGGGGGAACACTTTGGGGGGATGGTGACAGTGGCCTGAGCTAAGCTGGAACATGCCCACGGGGATGGGGGCCTTGCCTAGGGCTGCAGGCAGCCCCTCAGCAGCAGGACTGAGGACAAGCCCCAAGGATGAGCAGGGACCAGGATGCTGGTGCCTTGGTGCTCTGGAGGTGCTTTCCCAGCACCCGCCCACCCCTTCTGCCCTGTCTGCGGGAAGAAGGGAAGCACTGGCCAAGCTGTGAGGGCTTGTGCTCTGCGGAATGCCTGGCTTCGGAGCACTTCCAAGGCTGCTGCCAGGACAGATGGAGCCCCCAGCTCCCTTGCGCTCTCCCACGGTTGGTTTCCTCTTCCTCCCCCTGCAAGAGGAAGGTTTGCACCTGGGTGGGCAGCGTCTGCTCTGCAGAGCTGCCCCTGGGGCTGCGGGAGGCCGAGCCGCTGGGAGTGCCGCCCGCCCCGATCCTGCCTATCTCCCACATCTGCTCCACAATGGAGCAGGCGGGATATTTTCACTATCTCGAGGGCTTTCCTTTCACCCCGCTGCTCCACAATGGAACTATCAGACCTGGGCTCAAGGCATTTCCCCATTTCCCTCCCGCCTCCCCCACCCAGTTCGGGGACTTTCCAGGACTCTCCTGGCAGGCGGCCGGTCCTGCGGCCGCGGCACCTCCTGGGCACTGCCACCCCACGGCGGCTGCTCTGCGGAGGAGCCAGGGCACAGGCAGGGCACCGGCAGGGCAGGGCCCTGATGATCCCCCTTCAACAAGACATGGGGCAGCCCCTCAATCCCTGGGCGAGGAGCAGGCCCTGCTGCCAGCGCCTTTCCCTGTTTATTAACCCGGATTACTGGGAGCTGTTGTTTAGCCTGCTGCAGTCTCACACTCTGGAGATATGCCGAGGAGATAGGATGGAAGATGCCCCCACCCCTGGGCTTTGTGTTTTGGATAGTGCTCCTGGCTGGGCCTGAAAGGAAGGTGCTTTGTCACTGATTTCTGAAACAATCGCTCTGGGTGGAGGCTGCGGAGCCGGGGGCTGCGGCTGGCTCCGGGGAGGGCTGCGCTCGTGCAGGCCGAGCACCCTGCGCTGGCTGTCATGGACATGTGCAGTGCCCCCATGGACGTGTGCAGTGCCCCTTCGGAACGCGGCTGGGCACCCCTCTGCCTTTGGGCAGCCGTGGACATGTGTGTCTGCCCTTTGGTGATGTGTTGGGGTTAAGGCGAGAGAACACCCATTGCAATGAATTTTACAAAGGGTGGTTGGCAAGGATGGGGTGGGGGGGGAAGGAAAAGGGGACAAGAGGATAAGGTGGGGTTTGAAGCCACTTCTTCATTCCTGGATGATATTGCTGGCTGTTTGCTGGGCTGCCCGTGCATCTGACACCCCTGAGTGCAGTCGCTGCTCTAGCAAAGGCAGGGGGGACAGCCCTTTGGAATACGCTCTTGGAAGACCTGGAGGCTGCAGAAAAGCAGCTGCGCGGGGTGGGCAACTCCGGAGGCCCCTGGCCCCTGCCCAGGGCACGGGGCACGGGGCAGAGGAGGGCAGTGGTGCCCAGGGTGCCGGGCAGTGGTGCCCAGGGTGCCGGGCTGGAGCGCAGCCCCTCTCTGGAGCGGTGGCCGAGCTGCCCCGAGCCCGCGGGCAGAGGAAGTGTCACCGCGGGACTCCAATGGGCAGCGATCAAGCCCTGCTCCTGCCGGGCTCCAGCTGGGGCTGCGACGGTTTTAGAAGCCCCTTCAGCCGGGCAGCAACTCCCCCTTGGCCTTTGATTTATTGTTCCTGGCCAGGCCCCCCTCCTCCTTCGGCGACCTGCTCTTTCTCTCCATCCCCCCAGGAAGCGGGCTGAGCCATCGCACCCTCAAACGCATTCCAGCTCCCTTTCATATACAGGCGGAGGCGAAGGGGAGACGTTGACTTTGAACTGCCTCTTTGTAGGAGCCCGGCCCATTGTGGGCCCTGATGGGTTTCGCTGGGGGATGTGGAGCGAGTCAGTGGGGTGTCTTGCCGCCCCCGCCCCCGCCGCCTTGTCCCCCTCGTACCCCCCATCCATTTCAATGGGTCTCACTTTTGTGCGGGACGCTGGCTCGACGGCTCCCAGCCATCCCGCTGCCTCCTCTCTGGGGAGATGCTCCTGGTGCTGGCCTGGTACGGAGGTGGGAGGATGCTGCTCTGCAGTGTTTCCACGCGGGCCGGCTGCCCTGGTCTCCCGTCCCCGTCCTGTATCGCCACAGCACCCTGTGGCAGGCCGAGCTCTCCCAAGCGGGACGGCAGTGGAATCCAGCTAGGAAAAGGGGAGCAGAGAGCAGTGCCCATGTCCTGCCCACCTTGGGTGGCAGGATGGGGGCACCCACGTGGATTAGTCTCTCTCCCATTTGCTGGGTTGTACCAGTCTATCGTGGCTGCGTAGCAGAAGATGCTGCTGGGCGGCCAGGGATGTTTTATTCACTGCCAAACCCCTTCTCTCCTGTAGCAGCTGAGACAGAAGCTGTCGGAGGGCTCTGCTGGAGGCCCTTGAGATTAAGGCCTAATATCCTTGATTGAATATGCTGCAGCCCGCACATGCTGGGCTGGGGGCTGAGGTGGGCAGCAGCAATGGGAAGGACCGAGCTGGGTCCGTGACCGAAAAACTTCACTCCTGGGCCATCTGACAAGGCTCAGCCTGGTGGTCTCAGCCTCCAAATCCTCATCTGTGGGAGCAAACCCTAAGTTCCATCCAGTCAGCTCAGCAGCAGCCGCATGGGCCTGGGCGACCATGGGAGATGGGGACTGAGAGTCTCCTTTGCAGCCCTGGCCTGGGGGCACAGCCTGGCAGGTCCTGCTTCACCAGCCGTGAGCACAGACCTGAGGTGTGAAACCCAGGAGCGGAGCTGGGCCCCGCTCGCCTGCACTCCCTGCGTTAGGCGAGAGCAGCCCCCTTTGCCCCCGCACCCCACATCTTGCCCCCGGCTCCTTGCAGCCACGGAGCAGAGCACTTGGCTGCTCCCGGCATCGCAGCTGGGGACCTCCCTCTGCTCGGCACCCCTGGCTCCGTGTAGCTGTTTTGTTCAGTGAGGATTAAGCAGGGGGCTTAGCTGGGAGGATGCAGCGGGGCTGCTTGTAGCGCGCGAGCCCAGGCTGAGATGAAAGCCCAGCCTGGCCCAGATGTGCGGCCCCAGCAGCATCTTCACCGCGGCCCGGGCTCAGTAGCAGCCATGTGGCCACGGACCAACTCGCAGTTCTTCTCCCCAGCTCTCCCTTTCCTCCATGGCAGGGAAATGCCAGCACCTTTTCCAGCCTAACAACCCCCAGAGGGGCTATGGATCATCTCCCTGTGGTACTTTTAGCAGCTTCCAGGAGCAACCTGGGTGCTGGGGCTGAGCCTCGTTCCACGGCCCTGGGAGCACAGGGCAGCACCAGCCTCCAGCAGCGTCGGATCCCGGCACCCCCAGATGCGAGCAGGGACCCCGGGTGCCCTTGGCCAGCAGTGTGACCTGGTCCCCTGAGCAACCAGCAGTGACTGCGACGTCCAGCGCAGGGCTGCACAATTACAGCCGACCTCCTGGCGCTGCCGAAACCCACCCTGAGGAGCCGAGATGGTATCAGCACTGCGGGGCCAAGTGTGATCAAAGAGCTGGGCCGGGAGGGGACCCAAGACATTCAGTCCCGCCGAAACAATGCGGGGCTGCAGGAGCACCCGGGCTCAGATAGCTCTTATCTGAGCGCCGAGCGAGGTGCGAAGCACCCGGCCCCGGAGGCGAGAGATTAGGTGGGCAGGAGGTGGGTACCGCTTCAGGGCTGGGGTGCAAACCCTGTTGGGAGGCAGAGCTGCCTGCACCCACCTGCCTTGATATCTTAGACGTTTTGGGAAATGCCCATGCATGAGTCTGAGGAGCAAAAAAATCCACAATTTCTGGGATTAGGAGAGCTCTGGACACTGCGCAGAGGCCCAGGCAGCTGGTGGAGGAGCACCCCAAGGCCAGGGCCCCCCGCACAGGCACCGCGACTGACGTGGCAGAGCGAGCAGGCCCGCCCGGCCCCACACCACACACTCGCAATGGGTCTCAAACATGGATCATTTAATAAAATCTCCTTTGGAAAATAAACTACAGTCCATACGATGACAACAACGGGCTCGGGGAGCGGAGCGGCACCCCACCTTGAACATAGCACAGCCAAGAGCAAGCGCCGGTGCCCGCGTTCCCTGCGCGTGCAACGAGCCTCCCGCACGGGCTCCGAGCAGGGACACAGCAGTGGAGGGGGTGGCAAGGGGGGCACAGCACCCCCAACCCCCTGCGCCCGCTGTCCGTGGGCCACGGCGGCTCCAAGGCCGGGCACTGTCCCGCCATGGACCCAAGTGAACGTCCCCTGCTGCAGAGCAGCCTGCCCAGGGATGCCGGGCAGGGGACCGGCTCTCAGGGTGGCAGGTGGCTGCGGGGACAGGCAGGACATGGGGTGACGCTGGCGTGCAGGGGACCCGGTGTGGCTGCACCGGTGCTGATGGGTGCTCGCTGCGCCCATCGCTCAGCAAGCTCTGCCATCACCCGACGGCTGGGTGGGCTGCGTCGTCCCTTAGCCCTGGGAGCCCGGAGGATGCTCTTTCCTCTCCTCTGCTGCTGGCAGGTTTCAACCCCAGATTTGGCCCTTTCTCACCCTCGCCCACGAACCCTGGGGCAATGAGCCCCAGCAGCCCTGCGCAGGGCAGCACATCTCCTTCCTCGCCCTTGGCATCCTGCAACGCCTCAACACGCAGCCCTGGTGTGGCCGGAGAGATGGGGCAGCTCAAGTACCCAGGCAGCACTCGAGGAAACGCTCTGCCCAGCCGGGGGGCTCATGCCCCAAACGGACCCAGCCGCTGGGGTGGGCGAGGGGGTCCTCAAGGCACCCTGTCCTCCTGCACCATGGGCATCTCTGGGCACCTGCTGAGGCCAGGGGGAACTGAGGCTTCCCGAGTAGGGCCTGGGTTGCAGGGGCTCTCAGGGCTGGAGGGGATGGAGCTGAATGCCGGTGCCAGCCGGAGCCTTTACAAATGTTTGCCAAACCCTGGGAGTTCCTGTCCCTCCTGGAGGGGCTCGTGGCACTTACACCGGAGCGCCGCGGCCCCATCCCGGAGGAGCCCCCCTCTCCAGCCCTTTCCTGGCTGCTCCTGCATTAGCCCAGCTGCCAACAGCTGCTCTCGTGCCCTCCTGGCTGCCCGGCGCGAGGGGCCAGCGCTGCCGCCCC